AATTATATGTGCACCTGCATGAACAAGATCATAGTACAATCGATCACAATAAACTTTTTATTAAAGACTGTAAAAAAGACCATGCGTACTTTGTGTATATTGACATAACATAGAGAATAATTGTTTTGTACCATAAACACAGTATAACTGAAACATGAGAAATACTTTCTTTGAATGCGAAACACAAGAATTACATTATGATTATATTCTTAGTACTCCCACTTAAACTAGCAGACCTCAGTTCACATTAGTTTTTGAACTGATTTTACTACTCTCCGTTAAACTGGTATTTAAACAAGTTTTATGAGCTCAGTTTACAATCGTTTGTTGAACTGATTTTGGGCTTTGACTGATTGTTTCATAAGTTATTGCCTAGCTGAAGCAGTTTCATAGACGAGTGAAAGAGGCATGTCTATTTCCTCTTGATAAAATAGCTATCAGATTTAATATGTTTTGTGCAGCAAGTGCATGAGGTCAGATGCAATATATATCACAGTCCTATGGTTGCCATTCATGGTGTAAGAAGCACTAAATCGTCACCTTAATCATGCACCAATGTATGGAACATGTGTTTGAGATAACTTTCCACTCAGCCTATTAATGTGGATTCATTAGTTTGTTTCTTCGTTTTTTGTCAGATCATAATAGAACCTACACAAGTGAAATTCAATTTGTGAATCCAATTTTGAGATCAAGCAAGTCCTGTGGCCTATTCATAGTCATTTGATACTTTAGTCTAATGGCTGTTATCTACTAATGCCCATTGTCTTAATAGACTATACTCTACTTATTAGACACGTGTCAGGTGTTTTTTGATACTTGTATTGGTTTTTGATGCTGTGTTCCTCACAAGCTTATGGGAGTTAAATTTCTATTTTCATGTCATTTTGACATGAATGACTTGGTACCAGTTAACTACTTTATAGGCATTTAAGGAGGATCGTACTCATTACATAAATATGTATCGTGATTTTTTTTTTTTTGGGGGTGGGGGTGCAATGGCAATGATCCCATATTATGAGAATAGAAGTGACCCAAAACAATAAAAGAAAATGAGGCTATGAGTTTGGAGATTATGTCGCACCAAAGCCGTGAGATGGCATTGGCATCTGTTCCGCTTGAAAGATTCCAATGCAAAATTTAGCTTCTCTATTTGATTCTGTGTGCACATGCATGCACGTCTATGTGGTTTTGTGATATTGTAAGAATTCTGTTATTCCTCTGTGATGTGCTATATCATATCCCTGAGTCATTTTTTGTGTTCTTGACCTCTCCATAATATCTTTCACTTATTGAGGCCTAAAGATAATCATGACGGCTAATTTGTGATAACTAATTCTTTGAAAGAAATTATTTGTGATGGGCATGTTTATAGCTGCCTTTTTATTCATAAAACAGAGTATGTCGGTATCTATTATTTAGCAACATGGTTCTGGTAGTCAGACACTTTTAACGGGGTTTCTTAACTAAACAAAATTTTGCAGAGAAGTTGGTGTGCTGCTGAGAGTATGTATTTGGTCTTGCATGCATCATCATGCTGTGTGGGGCATTCTTTTTCTACCCTTGTTATTTCCATGGCTTGAGAACTTGATTGAGCTTTTGCATGCACTGCTGGGCCTTGAGCGTTGGTCTCGGATGGTTTTGTTTTGAAAGCAAGATTTATTGGAAAGCATAACCTTTTCAAAGAACCCGTAAGAAGCTTTAGGTTAGCTGAATAATGTAGCAAAAGGAAACTAGAAACTAGAACTGAACAATGTACAGTATATAGGTTTGAAGTAGTGGATCCCAAGTTTTTACCTTCTTTCTAAGATTATGATGATCCTTTGAACATGAATAATTTCTACTGCTCTTGAGATTTTTTGGGATTTGTAACTTTACAGAGTGCGATTGTATAGTCTCAGGAATTCTAAATTAATCTAACATGTTTTCAAGTAGAAAGTGCTCTTCCTGAACCATTTGTTATTGTTTACAGAAAGCAAAAAGGTGTGTAATGGTTGATTTGGCAAGTGTGAAGGTTATTCCTGATCATTTTGAGGTGCCAACGTCAACTCCTTGTGACCCCCAAACAGCAAATCCAGACACTCAGCCAAGCAGTTATTTGAGGTTTTAAGACATTTTTTTGTCTTGGTATGAACTCCTATACTATTTATAAGTCATTAAGAAATGTTCCTTCTATACTTGAATCTCCTTTGTGATATAGGTTTCCTAGTACATTGTGGACACAGAGAAAATTAAAGAGGAGCATGTCTATGCTGAGCTTTATTCTTCCAAGGGTCCCATGGGGATCAAGCTCCAATGATGATAATAAGGTAAGTTGACTCAATCCCTGTTTGTATTTCCATTGATCTGAATGGGAGGCTGATCTGGATATTGATATTGTATAATATCTTTATCTTGCAGGTTGATCAAGCAGAGCAAGTTGAATCACTTAGGTTGGAAATTGCTAGTGCTGAGGAGAGAGAGGCTCATCTTAAAGCCCGGCAAGATGCATTTGATCTTTTCTGTTTAGTTATCACAATTATTATATTTTCATGAACATCTCTGTTGATGACTCCATCTATGCTTAATTGCTCCATGATCTCGTGTGTCCCTATGAGAAAGTTGTAGTGACTTATTCTTTGTCTTAAATGTACAATGTATGTAGAATTCTAAAAATTTGGGTAATCTTTTGGGACTATTCAATTATATACTTCTGTCTTTTTTCAGGCTGGAACACCTGGACGAACGTTTGAGGTTTTCCAATCTTGCTGGCTATTTGTATATACGAACTGTAATTACTGTTATTTTCGCTTTAGTCATTCGTTGCTTATGATAATGGTTTCTTTTTTTTCATAGAGAAAATGCACTATAATCCAAGGGACTATGTTTTATCGTAGTTCATTGGGCTCATTGCTGTCCACTGTAATCTGGAGGGAGGGTGGGATTTGACCCTAGTAGTGTGTTCTACTCTCTCTCCGTCACTGCCCATTTCGCTGGGTAGTGATGACCTTAATGAAATACAGTTATCCATAATATGGTGCACTTCCCCATTTTGACATCCACTGTAATCTCACTCATGTTTTTGTATTTACCTGCATAGAGATGGACAGCTTTACCAGGAGAACCACCCATAGATGATACAGATGTAGATGATTGGCTTCAGCGTTTTGTTGTCCTCCATGGTTCATGTGTTTTCTTTTATCTTCAGTCAATAGGTAATCGGTATTTGACCCATGCATGGTGTATGTTAAATGGAAGTCTTGATCCATATAAAGAATGCATTAGGATTATATATATCGGTTCTATCTACATTTCGAATGAATATTGGTGTTCTTCTTTGGTAGAAAGCATTAGTTTTAATATCTTGGTAAGAATATATTCAGCACTTCTGATATATATATATATATATATATAGGAAAAAGTTATGTCAGGATGCAACCTTATAATGTAGAACTACGGATGCACCTCAAAAATCCATTGGAAAAGGTAGTTTTAATGTTGGAAAAACCTTTTGATTGATCATCTTGACATTGAGATGTATGACAATGAAAAATAAAAAGATTTTAAGTCTCAGAAATAGTGCATTTTACAACATATTATCTATGCCATCCATTTTCAAGATTTTCGTATGTTTATAGATCTACTTGATTTTAACCATTTTTTAAATTTAAAATTTTATAATTAGATATAAAAAT